TTATGATTATTAAAGCCCTTTCGAAAAAGCAATACAAGTTTTTCCTGCACCAATTTTCCCCTCTCCCTTTCAGATCACAATATTACCAACGCTAATTCTCTCCTTATAAATACACTCACATATTCGACAAGGTAAAAAACATACAAAATTATAAATGTAGGAGAGCTGCTTCCTATCACCAATTGTGTTGCACTTTTTTTTTATTTTTATTTTTTATTTTTTTAACTTTCGAACCTCCAAAATGCTAGCCGCTTGAAAAGTACATCATTTTCTCTTTAGAAGTCATATACGGTCGATTAAGCTCGATGATTCAGTTCACCAATGAGATTATTGTTTTAAACATGTAACAAATGAACGCAAATTTTTCAAAACCTTCAAACTGAAGCGAGTTCAAAGACTACTCCAACGATATTGGCTTAACATTGAACAAAAAGGTATTAATTAAACAAAATAATTCACTTTGTTTAACTATTTTTCTTTTTCTTTTTTTCTTTCTTTCTTTGTTTATTTATTTTCTTTTTTGCACATTAAAGGATGTCCAATGTCCACTACATTTATTTTATTTTATTTTTTTTTTGTTGAACTATTTTTCTAAATCGATATATGGAGTAGCGCTTATAACTAATTTGACCAATTGCAGTCTGATATCATCAGAACCGCGTGGACATGAACATTTTAATCAGCAACTATTAACGGTATTAATTAACCTCCGATAAGGTTGAAATTTAAAAAGATATTTTTGAAGCTTTGAAAGAATATTAATTGAAGTATGTTATTGTACAAAATTATGAAGTTGGACGAGCTGTTGATTATTTAGTAGCCATATAATTTTTGTTCACACATTTTCGGATTTTTGAGTTGCCAACGGGCAACGGCAAATCATAGTTTTTCATTGTTGGAAATCTAATATTTCTAGATTAATATTGAAATTTCACTGCGAAAAAAGATCAGATACGAAAGCCCCAGACGCATAGGAGGGGAACAGTTTGTGATTAATCACTCAAACCCAAATTTATTTGTTTTATAATGAGAAAGAAAAATAAATTGCCTAACTGAATAATTTACAATCCATCGGGTGTTTATTAGTGTCTGCCAAACTGCACTTTTGATTAAATAATACAACTTTTTAAAATGTCTATCGTCTACAATATCTGAAAATTGATGACGAAATTAAGGCTCCATTTGGACAAGAGTTTCAAAAAGACTTTTAAGGCTAAAAAGTCTGTTTAGAGTCTAAAATGTATTTAGACAAAATAATTAAGGTCTTTTTTAAACATCATTTTGAAAAAAAGAAGGCTTGAAACAGACTTTTTAGAAAATAGGTAGGAGGTATTTTTAAAATTTTTGAAACAGACTCTTCCAACTCCGTCCGCGGGTCTAAAATCGGGTCGAGAGCGGGTTATGAAAAAACGGGCCATGAATAAAATGAAAAGGGCCGGCCTCTCCCTTCTGCCGTACCCTAGATCCGCCGCCCCTTTCTCACTCTCTCTCCTTCAGCCGTCCGGCACCGGCGATCGATCCAGCAACCACCGTCACTCTTCTCTCCTTATCCCTTTCTTTCTCTCCTCTGATGATATGAAATCAAATTACGAAACCGAAAGACATTACTCCCTTTAGGCGGTCCTTTTTATCCTGACTCCCTCAAACCGTTACCTACCAACCCTCACCTCCCTAAACCGAAAATCAAATCACTGTATGTTTTTAATCATGAATTTCTATTCAGAATTTGAGATGGAGTTATTGTGATCATTTTTTTATTTTTTGGACTCCCTTATCAGTGCTTTAACAACTCACTCTCTGCTCAGCAGGTAATTTGGGTTTCAAATTTTCTTTTGTCACTTTGCGATTAGAATTCTGTTTGGTGTATGAGTGTCGCTTAAGAGTTAAATTTGTGATATGGGTTTCAGTGTGATGATTGAGCTCTTGACTTCTTATGCATGTGTGGTTTTTTTTTCTATTTCGTTGCTATGCATTTCGATTTATCAATCCAGGGTATTTCATTTATTGCTCTCTGAGAGGAGTGTTTTTCAGTAAGTTTTGAGACTTTTTCTATCTCTTGATTCCTTTGTTTCAGAACGTTATGATAAGTTTTGCATTGAGCGTGCTGTTAAAATGGTGATCTTTAAGAGTGATTCCTGATTGAGTGATTTTAAAATGGCTGTTCTAGGTTTCAGCTAATTAGATTTTGAAGTTTTCAATTTAATTATGCTTGTGGCAATCGAGGATTAAGAATTTGTTAATAAATTGGTTATAAACCACTTAAAGCATTTAAAGGGTGCTTCAGGTGTCAATAACTCTGATGAAATTTTTGTCCTGACTTTCATTCTGGATCCCTTCAGCATTACATTCCTGCTATGGAGTCAAAAAAATGCTAAGGATTTCAAGGCGTGTAAATGGTTTCTTAGAACACCTGCATTTTAAGTTTATGTGATCAGTTGCTGTGCCAATCTTCAATATTAGTCTACGGAGGTTCATAGCAAAAAAAACCAGCTGTACAATCTAACTTCATCTGTTCAAAGTAGCAGAAAAGTCAAGTGTTGTAACTCAGCACAATTGTCACGTGAACATCAATTAGCTTGGATTAGGAAACTCTAGACTTGATAGATTAGTGGAGTTGAAAGAAACTATTTATCTAGCTTATGTAGTTGAATCAAATACGACAATACTTGAATCCCATGTACTAATTCTGGCTCTTCTCTGTTATTTTGATTCGATTTCGGCAATTTTTCATCGTTACTGGTATTCTTATTAAACTTTCTGACTGTGGTTCAGGAGATTGACATTGATTGTTTTCTCTACTTCTTTGCTTGTCCTAGCATTTCTCGGTTACTATAAGTCTGTCAATTATCATCAGCAGCCATATAGGCAAAAGAATTTTTTTGGGTTCTGATTTTCATGTTTGTGCTAATGGATCTTGTTTGTGCAAACTTGCTTTGACAGTATGCTCCATTTTTGGGCTGCAATGCATTGTACATTGGTGAGTATGATCTGATCAAAACATTGTTTCTACATAGTCATCCAAATAGTCTATTGTTCCTATATCAAAACTTAGGTGCTTTGGTTTCTGCTTTTGACATTCTCTGAAGTCATACTTCATTGTTGCTGCTTGGTAATCTTTGGATGGATTCTGGTAGCATTGACATTTATATTGAGTGGGGACTTTCTACTTCTACATAAGTAGGTCTTTGTTCTTCCTCTCCTCAAATATTCTTGGTCATTTTCTCTGTTATGTCATATAAATAAGTTAATTTGTTTAGCATTTCTCTGTTATGTTGTTTACTGGAAATGTGAGGGGAATAAAATGGATGCTTAGGAAGCCAGGGTTAGTTCGGAAATAACGTCCAACTGGAATGAGATATGTTTACTTTGCATTGCTGAAAATACTAAAAACCAGAATTGAGTTCACCTGTTGAGTGGCTTCTTTCTCCTATCTCTTGAATCCTTTTCTGGGATTTCTTGATATGAATTTCTTCTATATTTCATCTAGTTTAATGTGATTTTTACAGATTAGTAAATGGACTCTTGGTTTGTTTGAAATTATGATTTGAACTTGACATGTTTATCATTGAAAATGCAGAAAAATCAGACCAGGCCACTTCTGTTTACAGCCCTATTTCTCTTTGGTCTTTAACTCTTTTCCAGGATTTCTTTTTAGAAAACTCTTCTCCATTGAGTACAGTTTAATGTGGTCTTTTCGGATTGTTAAATGGATTTACGGTTTGTCCAGAAGATGACTTAGAAATCACTGAAAATTTCAGAAAATTTGGTCTGAGCTATTGTTTTGAAGGACTTATTTCTTTATACTTCCTTCTATGGTTACCTTTGGTAAAACTCTTCTCTGGTTATCCTAGTTTATTACAGCTCTGATGGCTTGTTAAAAGGATTAGTAGTTAGCTTAAAAATGTTCTTCGAATATGGTCACTAGGTCACTATTGCTCTAAAAATTCAGAACTGAGAATTTTAAAGGATTCTGAAAATCCATTTAAGAGTCTAATTTTGATTACAAAGTCTACATTTGAATCATTCTACTGCCTTTTTCTTAAGTGGTGTAATTTTCCAAACTTTGAGTCGTGCAAAATCTGTATTTCTTATCCATGTGTTTCTTCATTAGTGCTAAACAATGTGTTTTCTTATGTATTGATTTGCAGTGTGTAAAAATGTGTGAAGTAGTGGAAGAAATATAGTACCAGTAACCCCCCAAAAAAAGAAAAAGGAAGCAGCTTTCAATTGTTGAAGAGAAGATAGAAAGGGCAAAAGGGGAGGTGGTGGTCAAGGATTTTGATTACACAAAAAGGCGGTGGATCATCATAATCTTGGTGGGAACTCTCTGGTTTGACCAAGGAGGACAGGCATTATGTGGGATTATGCATTTGATAAGTTAAAATGGTTTTAATATTATATTGTGTTTTAATATTATGTTGCAATTTAGTCAGAATGGTTTTCAAAATTATACTATAATTTCGATTTATGTTGGAAGATAAAGTGTGGAAACGAAAATATTGGAATAAGACAATTGCGAATAATAAAATAATAATTTAGGAAGGAAAAGTGAAAAAAAATGAAAATAACAATTTGTATAAGAATGATTTTCTTTTTTTTTAAAAAAAAAAGTTCTCAAATTATTTTTAACAAAAAGTAATTTTGAAAAAGACCTAGTCCAAATGGCTTTTTCATATTTTCAACTCCTAACAGGATTTTGAAAAAATCTTGTCCAAATACATTATTTTTCAAAAATTACTTTTTTAACTTTTACTTTAAACAGACTGTTTTGAACAAGTTTTCAAAACTCTTGTCCAAATGGGGCCTAAATTACGCTCATAATAACTATTAGATTCCAAATATTAGATTAGTTTATAATGACTTCCAAAAAAAAAGAGTAATAATATGTGCACTCCTGGAATTGAAGGATTTTTTATTTATTTATTTTTTTTTAAAAGAAAAACAAAAACATATAGAAGGACTATTTACAAATCCTTAACTGCCCCCTCCCCTAAATGTGCCTACTTATTACAGATCACTGAAATTAAACAGACTATCATGCCCAAAAGCAATGTCCACCCAGTTAATCTTCTAACTTCCATAACAATACTCCAACTTGATGAATGATCCAAAGAAGTGACATTGAAATTAGGGTTTGCTCCATACAGTGCCTGTATTGCTGCTACGTCATCAACGGTGAGGTTAACCTTTTTGGTCCTCCAACCAATGCTATGATACATGACCGACTTCTTTGCCCTTGAATGGTCCAATCCTAGTAAATGTCCAATCTCATGTGTTGCCACCGATTCCAAGTCAACGGCTGATTTCGCCTTCTCTTTCTCGAAGTCAACGCTCCATCTTTCGCCTTTATCTAGATGGAGCATCCCGATTTCCGGCCAGGTGGCATGAGCCAGTTGTCCCCCCCTCCCCTCAAACGGGTCTCCGTCGCCATGATCCCCCTCGAAGAATCCTATCGAGATGTCTGAAAATCGATCATCATCGACTTCCGTAAAGTTCACCGGAATGACAGCCGACCACCGTGAGAACGAGCGTTCGAACGCGGACTTAATATCGGCTAAGCTCAAGTAGTCGATCATGTGGTCCATCAAGAAAGCGTACGTTAGCGTGAATGGAGATGGCCTTTCCCATTTGGATTTATTCTCAGTAACCGAATGGTGAACACTAGGGCTCAGTTTATTTACGTGGTCATACAATGTTCTGACGGAAAGAACCCTAGGGGTTGAATGGAGGAGAAGGAAAAATATGAGAAAGAACAAATAGTTCTTGTTATTGTAATGGAATAACGACAACATGGTACAATAATATAGGTTGGTTTGAGAATTATAAGATTGTTGTGTGGCAAAAGTTTCAGGGAGATATACTATTTATTAAGACAATCGAACAAAACCGAATTATCATTAATTTCGAATATTACTTGCAAATGTTATTCATAGTTTGATTAGGTTTGCAAAAATTAAGAATCCATATGTTCTCTAATTACATATATATATATATATATAATTATATATACATATATATATATATATATATATGTGTGTGTGTACAACGTACGTATAGTTCAATGATATTATGATGACTTGCATGTACCGTATTTTGTATTCCAAAAATTCTTTTACAAATTTGTTACTCCCTCCGGTCCTTAATATAAGATATTTTGATTTGTTCTAGATTTCACCTAATACACATTTTTTATTGATAAAAAAAACCATACAAATATATTTTCACATTCCTTGTGTTCTTTTGATTTGATAAAATGTTTTTAAGTTTTTTTGTCAATTAAAATTGCGTATTAGGTGAAAACATAGAAAAAGTCAAAATGCCTTATAATAAGGACCGGAGAGTACTATTCAAGTTAATTAATAAGATGACTTTTCTTATAATGGGCAGCGGGCTTCATTTTTTTTTTTTTTTTGGTGGAAGATAAAAATTAATAAGAAACTAAAAATTAATACATTAAGGGGATATCATTCATTGTAATCATCTTTTCAGGAGAAAAAATCATCCCTTATTAAGCGCAGACTGCCAACCTTCGGAAATTAAAAACAATGGTTGGGGTGAGCTGGGTTCTCTTTATGCACATCTGATAGGTTTTGAAGTTTCATGTTATTTATGGGTATTTGTATAGCATTTTGAATTAAATTGTGCACTTATATTATGTATTTTGATGTTTTTGGTTCCTAGGAGTCCTTAGAGATGATATGGAGCAAAATATTCTATAAACACACATTTTTTGAGCATTTTGACAAGGAAGCACAAGAAGGGAGCAATGACATCACATTCTCGTGTGGGCACACAAATCTCAGTCCAAAATTGAGATTTAGAGAGAAATTCCAGCATTGATGCTGCATTCCCGTTTGGCCAAAACGAAATATGGACTAAAATGAAAAATTAAAAAAATTTTGGGATCAAAATATAATTTTGCCAAACTTGAGGGACCAATTTGAAAATCTCTGAAAAGTTAATTTGCTGCTGCATATTTCTGAAGGGCTGCTGCAGCTGACCTTTTTTCTGATTATAAATAGACTCTGCTTTTCATTTTGAAAGAGTAGTAGCTAGTAGAATAAAAATAGACGTAGTTTTCCACTTTTAAGAAACTTTCAAAGGCACTTTCTTCATTTTTTAGTCTTCCGAGTTCACAGACATCAATCGGTAACATTTTTCAATGAATTTTTCTTGTGATTCAGTTTCCATGATGAGTAGCTAAATTCATTCATCTGGTTGAAGGGTATTGAAGCCTTGGTTTGAATAGTTGTGAGATCTAAATATCGTTTCTCTTTCAATTTTTTTGTGAGTATTTGCTTGTTCTATTGCATGATTGATATGATTATTCTGGATTCATGAATAGCTGGTAGCATTCGATGCTTCTTAATAATCTAAAACCAATAAAACAACAAGGTTTGTTGTTTAAATAGGGTATAATATAATTTAATTACTTGGTAAGTAATTATTCATGTTATAAGAACAAGTAATCCGGTTTAATATAAAACAAGGTTTGTTTTATAGGAATTGGGATTGGGTCTATGTGTTTAATGTAGTAGTTTTCTAAATCTTAGGAGGTTCCAAGATTAGTTTTCGACTAGTATATGATTAATGAAGGTTTCTTAATCATTAAACTAAATGAAAGATTGAATTGTTTGGAGGTTCCAACAATGAAAACTAATCTACTCATAAGTTAATGATAATATCATTGCATCTATGATCAACTGTTCAAATTAAGGTGGATATACAAACCCTTCAGCCAGATATTTTCTCATTATTTGTTTGCATCATTTTAGCTATTGTTTGCAATTTGTACTGTTTTCAATTTATTTCAACAACTCAAACCCCCCTCCCCCCCCATTTGTTATTTTATTTAAAAGAGAGAAATTCACCATTCCCTGAGGAGACAACCTTACTTTCCTGTACTACATTAGTTTTGAAATAGGTTAAATTATTTGTTGGCTTGACACCCCACCAAAATGGCGCCGTTGTCGGGGAACGGTGATAATTGATTTGTTTCTTTTAAATTTTGTTATTTTATTTTTGTTCTAGTTTATGCCGCGCTCTATTCGTACAGGTGAACTTGTCTTTGACACAGAAATAGAGAAGAGAACTAGAGCTATCAAGGCGGCAAAGAAGCAGGAAAGGTTACTTTTAGGCTCCACATCTAAACCTACTAGAGCTTATCAAGAAGGAGAAGAAAAGGAACCTTCCATTTCTGAAGAATTTTCATCTGAATTTGAAGAAGAATCTGAAGGAGAAGAAATGGCTGAAAATTTAACTTTGAGAGAGTTGGCAACTCCAAATGTTGATCAACTACACCCAGATTTTTGCGTGACAATCGAGAAGGAAAAAAAAACAGGATTTTGCATGACATCCAAAGAACAAATTAAAGAAGAAATTAATGTGAAAAGAAACGGAAGTAATTTGTTTGAGGAAATGGTGTTTCAACACTCAACATGCTAACGCGACAACCACATGGAGAGGAACCTTCTTATGAACAGCAATGCCATTGACTTCTGACATATCCAAATCTTCTGGTTTGGTACCGACGGGTAACGAAAAGTTGAATTCTTGCACAAGTTTCGCTAATGCAAGCTCATTAGTAGCCATAGCAAAACTAATTCCAGGACAACCTCTTCTTCCGGCACCAAAAGGGATCAATTCAAAGTTAAACCCTCGAAAATCAATTTTCGAATTGGTAAACCTCTCGGGCAGAAATTCATCGGGATCCTCCCACAAGTTTGGGTCCCTTTGGATTGCCCAAGCATTCACAATGACTTGTGTTCCGGCGGGAATGTCATAGCCCATGAGTTTCACGGGCCGGGTTGATTCTCGGGGAACAAGCAAGGGAACAGGAGCATGAAGTCGTAAAGTTTCTTTGATCACTGCTTTTAGATAGTGCAATTTGTCGAGATCTTCCTCCGTGATGGGCTTTCCTTGAGCGACTTCTCTTACCTCATGTTTCAACTTCTCCAAGATGATTGGATGCTTTAGAAGTTCAGCCATTGTCCACTCCATTAGTGCAAGTGTTGTATCAGTTCCACCCGCAAACATGTCCTAATTTGTGAAAGAATACAGCATTACTGTAATATGAATTCTGATAAGGTGTGTGTGTGTATGTGTGACTTATTTTTGTTCAGATGTTCTTGTCGTGTATTTTAAGTAAATTTAAAATCAGACAAAAAGAATCATTGCTGGGGGGATCACTAGTGTAATACTTTAGTTATTTACGGTAAAAACTTCTGTTTAAGTACAAATAATCATAATGAATACAAATGTGAAAAAAATGATGTAAATTGAAACCAAGAAAGGAATGATGGAAAACAATATACGTACCAAAATGAGTGCTTTCACGGAATCTACCTCAATATGAAATCCAGTCAGATTTTCCCTTTGAGTTTCAAGTAAAATATCCACAAAATCTGAGTCTTTTTTCTGATCATTGCTTGTAGGTTTTTTCTCATGCTCTTCTATTACCCCTTCTATAAATGTATCAATGGCTTTGACAATTTTCTCAACTTTAGCATCCAAACCATTGAAACGATTAATCCATGCAAGCCAAGGAATATAAAACCCTAAATCAAAAACACCCAATAGCTGTATGAACTCCCCCAATATATTCTTAGCCTTCTTTCCATTTTCCTCATCACTATATTTTCTCCCAAATGCAACCCTACAAACTATATCATTTGTAAGGGTAACTAACATTTCACTCAAATTTACCAAAGTACGCGATGACGAATTAGGATCAGCAACACATCTTTGCTTAATTTTTTCAATCATCAAAGACATTTCTTCTTCCCGGACACAACGAAATGAATGAACCCTTTGATTACTTAGAAGCTGAAGAACACATATGCTCCTCATTTGCCTCCAATAGTCTCCATAGGGCGAAAAGGCGACGTCCTTCGAGTTGTAGAAAAGCTTCTGGCCTATGGATTGTGGCCTATTCGAGAAAATTAAATCATGGGTTTTCATGATCTCGGAAGCTGCTTTAGCGGAAGAGGCCACGAGGATCGGCTTGCTACCAAAGTGAAATAACATAAGATGAGGACCATATTTTTGGCAAAGTAATTGGAGTGAACGGTGGGGAAGTGAACCAAGTTGGTGGAGATTTCCAATTATTGGGAGTTTTGGGGGAGAAGGTACTTTATTATTTTGGCGTTTTGAAGATGAAGAAATGAACCATTTGATTAAGAAGACAATGAAGACGAAAAGAGGAAGCATAGAAAATAATTGTGAAGACTTCAAAATAAGCACCATTTTCTAGTTGGTGGAAGATGTTGACTATAAGAAACTATGACTTGGAGGTCTTAAGAAGCATGCATGTTCCTATTTATAGATGACAATTCAATTACTTTGGTAGGTTTCGATGTTTCATTGTCCAATAAATCCTTACAACGGGAAAAAAAAGGTAATGATTTTCAAAATTTACAAGGAATATTGTGTCGCCTTGTAGCAGTATGAAGGTGAAAAGGGATAAACAAAAAACAAATGACCATATTTGTTCATACCCTTTTGGAATTTTCCCTTCGTATTGGCAAATGATAGTTTTTTCAGTGTTGTAAATTTCAAATTTTTTGGAGGAAAATCGAAACAAATTTATATTGTTAAATACTCCTTTAGCACAAGTTTCAAAAGTTTTTCATTCATATACGTTCCACGGGCATAAGCTAATTTAATTTCCTTCGTTGTAATTTTGTGATAAGAATGAAGTTAGAAATTTCTCAATTTCTCATCAAGTCGTCTTTATCGGAAGTAGTTGGGAATAATGTAATAATGAACCGAAATTTTCATTCTCACTGTTTTGAAATCAGATTAATATAAAATTTTGGGTGGTGAATACTATTGTTGGGAAAAATTATAAAAAGAAAAAAAATCAGTCAAACGATAACGTACAACTAAAAGTTAACAATTAGATCACTTTTGATTTGTGTTGAGTATTCAGCATATATGCATATAGAGTGCAGAAACTTATAGACTTTGGAGGTAAAATTGAAATTTTCTTGAGTCTATATTAGTTGTGACTTTGATTTTCATTCCATTTCTTTTCCCAAAACGAAGACATCGGGCATATAACCGTAAACAAAAGATTAATCCCTCCTAATAAATAATATTTAAGTTTTTATGATAGTTGAAGTAATGACAAACCTTTCTCACAAAATTACCGATTTTAATTCCTTGAACTTTTAAAGCACGAATTTCGGCAAACCACCGTGACTGAATGCTCCTTTCTCAATTCTCAGTAATCTCATTTCTAATGTTTAAAAGTTCCTTTTTTTTAAAAAAAAAAAAAACTAAGAAAGAGCATCACCATGTCACTTTCGGAATATGATCTGTCTATATATTTCTCTGTCTACAAACCAGGCAACTGTACTATGTAGTTTTTAACTCAAAGAATTTGATTGAATGAAGTCAATTAATTTTGGAATATATCTTACATAATGCAATAAAAAATTTTCCCCAACTAAGTTACGTTCATGTTTAGGTCTGTCTTTAGAGAATATTCCATACCGGACGACGGCTTGAGGTCTGTTTCCTTTTTGGAATGGAATATCTAGTTCGGTTTCGCATCTCCTGAAACGGAAAATTCCATATTGTTGTCCTGGTTTCTTTCAATAACGAATTTTGTATCTCTTTATTTTTGAAATAAAATAATACTTATATTCATTTACTGGAAATCGTCCAGCTGCGATTGATTGATACAAAGAAACAGTCAAACGCAACTTATAATGTATCACTTTGTTGTATTTACCGTGGATAAACGTATACAGATCTACCCAAATAATTGACGGATCTATCATGTACCAGAGTTTGAATCAGATCTCGAATATATCTCTAAAATTCTGTTGAAAACTCCAACCACATATCTAAATATTAGATATGCGGTGACTGATTCTTCATGGGGCATAGGTAACGTTGCGAACATCTTCAACGCCACAATGAACACTGCAAAACAGACCTACCTCTCAGTAGAACAACCTACTGAAAAAATACCGCGAACAAGAAAACCTTACCCTCTCAAAAGATTATCTAAATAACCTATTGAAGGAACTAATTTATGAGAATAACCTCACTTATTAAACGATAAATAACAAAACGAAAAACGACTAAACAAGTTTAATTCTCTCATCCTCTCATGATGAGAAGATGGGGAAAGAAATTTTTTTTGGAGTTGGGGTTTGAGAGAGAGAGAGGGGAGAGGGGCGACTGCTAGGGTTTGGGTGTGGGTGAATATTGTTAGCATAAAGGTTTTTTTTATTCAAAATTTTTTTACGAATTTTGTATCCCTTATTACATATTTTTTTTTTTTGTATTTTATCATTTTTTGCTGGATTGCTTTTTTGACGTCTTTCAGTGAATGGGGATATTTTCACGTTGGAGTGGGCAGACCATCCGCATTCTCCAATTCGTCTTTATATGTTGAAATCATTCAGTTAATCAATTGTAAACTTGTAATAAACCATGTAGAGTGATACCATGCAGGATAGCATGGAGTAGATATAAAATAATTTTATGACAGATTGAATTTTGTGAGGTAAGTTACCGAACTATTGAAGTATCAAACTGTGGCGTGATTTATTGATTATTAGTAGATTGATAACCAATTCTTAATTGGCGCGAGTCATGATAAATTTTTCAGTAGATATAGTCAATCTCTAAATCCTTTCACAACTTACATGATTCAACTTTTTATTTTTATTTTTATTCTTTTTGTGTGTGTGTGTGTGCAAACAGTAACATAGACACAATAGTTCAAATGGATATAGAGGAATTCCACCATTGGAAGCATCAGCTACGTAGTGGCTGTAGATTTTTTGCCAACTTTTTTTTTCCTAAGGAAATTTCCTCTTGAAGATCAAGGTTTCGAACTTCATCAATTGCAATTTGTGCATAGCAAATTCTTCCATACCCGTCCTCCATGAAACTATTCTAATTAAGTAATTAATTAGCAACAATCCAGGCCATAAACAAGCAGAAGTACATTATACCACTGCATGATCCATGGTACGAATGATCTTGGGTAATAATATATGCTCCACCTTTAGAAATTAAACACTACTTAAAAAAAAAAAAAAATCCATCCAGTGAAAATGAAATGTGAGTAAAACTCTCTTTACAAATTCCTGAGGGGAATTGAACCCTGAACTACTCCCAAACACTATTTTCAGACCCTGTCATTCTAAAATCGGTCAATAGTTAATTTTAATCATGTCACAAAGAGGTTTACAAAATCGACTTGGTCCATGCAAGTTGAAATGGTATGTAAATTATCCAAGTTTCGAGAGTAATGCACGCCCTAACGACAATAAACACTCTTCTAGCAGTAGCCTTCAAGAATAATCCATATTGTAATTCAAGTTACTGATTCGGCTGCGAAATAATTTATGCCTGAAGTATGTGGATTGGGTGAACAAGGTGTTGTTGGAATCTCATAGTTGAAATCTAGGAAGTGATCAAACTGACTAATATCTTCTATTGATTGTATACAACATATATAGTGGCTTACAACAAGAGATAAGTACAAGTGATAAACTCCAACACCTATACAACTCAATCTATAATAATGATAAAGATTATAGGAACATGATAACTATGACACGCCTCCTCAAACTGATGACGGAAGAGGGAAAAGTCGAAGTTTGTCAAAAAAATGAGTAAATGAAACCTTCGCAAAGGGCTTGGTGAGTATATCAGCTAGTTGATCTGCAGCTGAAATATTGCGGACAGTAACAAAGCCTTGTTGAACATGTTTCCGGATGAAGTGGAAGTCAACTTTGACATGTCTCGCCCATGCACGAAAGGCAGGTATTGACGCCAAGAAGACAGCTCCGTTATTGTCACACCAGACCATTGGTGATGCGCGCAAAGGAACACCAAGTTCAGCTAAAACGTGACACAACCAATGAAGTTCGACACAAACATTGGCGACTGACCGGCACTCAGCTTTGGTGGAGAAGCGTTCAACGGTTGGTTGCTTCCGAGAAGTCAAAGCAAGCAAATTCGAACCAAAAAAGATAATAAAACCTGTGGTAGAACGTCGATCATCCGGGCAACCGACCCAATTGGCATCCGTAAAAGCTATAACAATCCGGGAAGGAGAGGAGCTCAAATACAAGCCGCAATCCATAGTACCACGCAAATACCGGATGACTCGCTTGAGGGCTTGATGATGACCGGACGTGGGATAATGCATAAACTGATATAATTTGTTAACGACGAAACAAATGTCAGGATGTGTGAGTGCAGCATATTGCAAGCTTCCACATAAACGACGATAAGTCGCAACATCATATGCATCTAAAGAATATCCATCATAGCGGGACATAACATCTAGCAAACATCGGAGTAGAACATGGCTTACAAGAGGACATATTTGCTGATCGAAACATGCCCAGAAGGTACTTCCATTGAGAGAGAACCAAGCCCCACGAGTTACAATGCACTTCAATGCATAGAAAGAAATGAAGATCCCCCAAGTCACGAATGGCAAATTCAGAGCCAATGTGATCAATAATTTTCTGAACAAATGGAGGTTTGTTTCCGGTAATAATGACATCGTCCACATAAACAAGAATGAAACAAACACAACGACCAGAGGAGAAGATGAACAATGAGGGATCACAACGAGACATCCAAAATTGAAGAGACAAGAGAAAGTCACTTAGCCGAGAGAACCAAGCGCGAGGGGCTTGTTTGAGGCCATACAATGACTTGTTTAATTTGCACACATGATGGGGACGAAGAGGATCAATGAAGCCCTGAGGTTGAACCATGTAAATGACCTCTTGAAGTGTCCCGTTTAAGAAAGCATTGGTCACATCAAGTTGTTTGATAACCAAAGAATGACTCACAGCCACCGAAAGAACCATTCGGTTAGTAGTTGGCTTGATAACCGGACTGAATCTGTTCGTATAATCAACACTAAAGGTTTGTGTGAAGCCCTTGGCAATTAATTGTGCCTTGCAGCGATCCAAACTGCCATCAAGGAGAGTTTTCACCTTGAACAACCACCAATTACCAACAACATTGGCAGATGGTGGCGGCGGAACCAAAGTCCTAGTGCCATTTTTCACTACAGCATTGAATTCATGCTGCATTGGTTGCTGCCAGAGAGGTTGTGTTTTGGCTTGAGAATAGGAGAGAGGAGCAATTGGGAGGGTGTTTGAGACTGAGATATGATGCACAAACTTATGTTTGGCTCGGATGAAAGGTCTCAAACTCATTGGGGCTGGTGGGGGTGAAGGGGGGGAGGATCTAAATCAACCAGAAGTTGTAAACCTGGTCTAGATGAAGACAAGTGGGAGGAAGATGTTGCTGGTGATGAAGAAGATGCGGCCGAAGGAGAGGCGGCTGATGAGGAATCACTAGGGTTGGAATCAGGGTTAGGGTTTGGTTCATTGAGTGAGGGTTAGGGCTGAGGACGCTGAGCACTAGTGGGAGTCGATGGAGGGGAGAGCGCAGAGGAAGGAGGAGATGACAAGGACATAGGAGAAGGTGAACGGAGAGGTGGCGGTGACACATGAAGAGACACCTGTAGCGGTGGTGACAAAGATGAGTTGCGACAGGAAGACGGTGAGGAGGCGATGACTTGGACAGTTTGATGCTGAAACGGGAAAATAGTCTCGTCAAATTGGACATGGCGAGCTATATAAAGCAGATTACAGGGAAGGTGAAGGCAACGGTAGCCAAGATGAGAAGGGGAATAACGTTGAAAGACAAAGTTGAGACCGAAATGAGAATTTGTGCCTATTATAGGATCGTAAGTTAGGATATATGGCACAACCAAACACCCGTTAAAAAAGAAAGTCAGGTTTTTTATGAAATAAACGAGTGAATGGAATTTGATTATGAAGAGAAGAAGAAGGGAGGCGATTAATAAGAAAAACAGAAGTCTCAAAAGCATATTCCCACTATTTGAACGGAGCAATAAAGTGACATAAAAGAGTAAGGCCAATATCTACAATTTGACCAATTTTTCGTTCGGCCGTACCATTTTGTTCATGTGTGTGAGGACAAGCCAGGCAAGGATCAATGCCTTGTGTTTTTAAAAAAGTTTTAAGGGAACGGAATTCACCACCCCAATCTAAAAGAACTGATTTGATAGTAGTTTGAAATTGGTTTTTGGCTAATTTTTAAATTGCTGGAAAATAGAGAGCACGCCAATTTTTTGTTTGATAGGAAAAAACCATGTGAATAATGAAAAATCATCAATAAACAGAACAAAATAACGATAACCATGATGGGAGAGTAAGGGAGCAGGCCCCAAACATCCGTATAAATTAAATCTGATGGATGAGAACTGCGTTGAAATGTTAACCTGATAAGTCTATAATTAGCATGAAATTAATGATTGTTTAAATAAGATTTTAAGAGTATTTTATGCTAATTATGGTGTTTTATATGTAATTTGATCGTGTGAAGACTTTGGATGAGAAATGAGAGAAAAGATAGATTTTTCCAAGATTTTGTCGCAACAAACCATGGATGGTGAGCCGCGGATATTTAATAGCACGTGGTCATGTGATAAAATGAAAGAAGATGGAAGACGATGACGATTGTACACAGAAAAGGAGGCAAATTAGCACGTGATCATGTGATTCTATTCAAGAGGCTTATGACTCACGTGAGATACCGCATGATCACGTCAGTTGGGCATAAAAGAAATCAGTTTTTGGCGGGAGAGAGAGGGAAATAGACGCACAACGCGTTTTTGACCGAGCCTGCCTTCAATTTTTATTCCAAGATTTTGGAGAAAAATATAGACGCACAACGCGTTTTTGACCGAGCCTGCCTTCAATTTTTAACCAATAGAAAAATTCCCGAAACCTCGTAGGACTAACAGTTCTAATGGTTACCGAACAACAAAGATTTAAAAACAAAACATTAAATACCATCCGAGTTTTATGCATGTTAATTATTTAATTTCAAAATATAGTTCAATTACTTAAGCAAGTAAATAAAATATATTGAACGCCCTCTAAAACTTAACAAAACCTTGTCTAGCTTGATTAGCTGTAAATCGCTTGGCAGATATTGAAGGCTAACTAGCACTCCAACTCAGCTGCTAATAATTATATTAAATGTTAATTGTGTGGAGAAGATCAAAGGCTGACCAGCGCTTCAATGCAACGACTACCAATTATAACACAAAAATAAAAGTAGAAATAAATGTTCTTCTTGATCTATAAAAGTAAAGTGCAAAATATCTCACATATGCAAGAATACAAGACTTCAATAATTTCCTTGACTAGAAAAAGAAAATTTAGCCGCTAAACATTTTGAAGAACAAAGGAAAAGATTTTATAAACTGGAGAAAAGAAATGAAGAACTAAAGAGAAAGGGGAAAGAAAGTCTAAAACTCAAAAAAAGTGGATGTCTCCACGTTCCTCTGCAGAGGTATTTATAGAAGCTTTTCCTACTAAAAAGTCTTCCTTTATTTTGGTAAAAGAAAATAAAATCAGAATACGAATTTTGTTACTTGTTTAAGAGAAACGAATCCACCATTCCCTGTGGAGACGACCTTGCTTTCCTATACTACGTTTATTGGAAGTAGGTTAATATTATTTGTTGGCTTGACGTCCCACCAAAAATGGCGCCAATGCCGGGGAACGGTGATCATTTATTTGTTTCTTTTGAATTTTGTTTATTTTTTGTATTTGTTCTAGTTTATGCCTCGCTCTATTTGTACAGGTGAATTTGTCTTTGACACAAAAATAGAGAAGACAGCTGGAGCTATCAAGGTGGCAAAGAAGAAGGAGAGGTTACTTTTAGGCTCTACATCTGAACCAACTAGAGCTAATCAAGAAGGAGAAGAATAGGAGCTTTCTAGTCCTGAAGAATTTTCATCTGATTTTGAAGAAGAATCTAAAGCAGAAAGATGGCTAAAAATTTAACTTTGAAAGAGTTGGCCACTCCGAATGTTGACCAGCAATCATTGTGCATTGTTTTGCCTGCAACTATGGTACCTTTTGAACTTAAACCTGGTATAATTCTTTTATTGCCT